TATATATTAAAAAAGCTACTTTGGTGCCCTTTTGGAAAAGACAAATCGGTTTAAATATGAAATAAAATGTGCATATCGCTACTAAGTTATCTCTACTTTTATCTCCATTCCTCCTCCAGATATTTTCTCCTTTGCTTAAAATTGTTTGTTAAACTCAGAGACAGGGACTGATGTCACGTTATAAAGCACTGTGTGTAGTGCTAGTATTATATTTTCAATGGCTGTGCCTAGGTGTTGAACTCTACTTTTGAGAAAATATTTCCCTCAAGCCTTTCCTGATTGTTAGAAACCTTGCTACTGAGGATGGCCTTTGGCCTGGTCTTTCCTTATTTTGATACCCAAGAATAGCTAGCCCTAACAGGCACCCTTCCAGATATCTTTGGACTATAACCATGATGGGGAACCCATGGCACGCATGGCACAGGTGGCACACAAGAGCCCTCTCTGTGAGCATGTGAGCTGTCATCCTACCTCAGTTCCACTGTGCATGCGCGCACGCCTCCCACCAGCCAGCTGGTTTTTGGGTCTTTGCCATGCACGTGAGGAGACGCACATAGATGTGTGGCAGGGCACATGTGAGGGGTCATGCATGCTGGTGCAGAGGTTGGGGGCTGCATGCATGCACGGGGGGCATGTGGAGGGTTGAACGCATGCGTGGGGGAGTAGGGCATGTGGGACATATTGTATGCACATTGCATTATGGGTGCGTGCGCATGCACTTTCAGCACTTGGCGACAAAAAGGATAGCCATCACTGGACTATAACATCCATAATTCCCAGCCAGCCTTCTTCATACTTTGGAGGAATTCTGTTAATACCAAAACATTTAGATTGCACAAGGCTGAGTGTTCCAGGCTATTTTTAATTTCCTTTTGGTTTGCTTATTTGCTGCACTATTTCCTTATATCCCAGTATGAATATGATTAATAGTTATTTAAACTGCAATTCTTTGTGTCCCCCTCCTCACAGTGTTCTGGTCTGTTGTTTCTTTTCTAATGATTTTACAT